ATGTATAGATTATAAATAAGTAAAAATTGTTTTTTTTCAGGGTAAATGAGTTCCATAAAAGATAAATTTTTTAGTTTTCTTAGTACTCTTAAGTCTTACTCCCAAGTCATCCTCCCAGATTGTTTAGTTATTTCTAATTTGATACGTGCTCACTTTATAATAACATCTTGCATTTTTGGATCCAGTTAAAGTGTCAGGCACTGTGCCATGTGTATTACATGCACTATTTCATTTAATCCTCACAGTAGTACTGTGAGGTAAGAGCTATTACTATCTCCATTTTTTAAAGTGTGTCAACGGTCAGGTTAATTAGGATGCATAGCAGTAAACATTGCAGGGCTGGGACTTGTGCCCAGGTCTGTCTGACTGCAGAGCCTGAGTACTGTGCTGAAGGTGGCCTAGCAGCCTATGTAAAATCTGTAAACTGAGTGTTACTATCTTAAAACACTAGTCCTTGGGCCACATAATGCTTTTTTTCTGTTAAATGAGGTAAAACAAAGTTGTCTAAAGTGCAATTGTTTAGCTTTCACTCTTTTGCCTATAGCAGTCACAACTTCTCTGTTAAAAGTATCATGAGTGACAACCATTTCCAAATGAAAAGCTATACATTTTTAGTGCTGAATAAATCTGAAAGATTGTGTACTTTGTTCATTTATGTGCCCTGCCTGTGGCTGTAACCTTCAAGAGTATTCTGTGGCCTTTCAGAAATTCTTTAAAGGTAACAACTCTTGTGTTTTTCCCTGTGCTTCTTAGGCTTTCCTTTGTGAAATGCCTTACAGCTTCTTCCACCTAATTAACCTCTTCTTTACACCTGGCTTTTGCAGCTGGTCCTTTTTTTTTTAGTCTTTGGCTTAAAGTACTTGAAAATTTGTTTTTTTAAACTCCATTTCCTTCTCTGACAAATTTTATAGTTGACATCATTTTCTGGGTCATTTAAGGAAAATGACTCTTGGAAGAAATTGACTCGAAATATACTTTAGTTCAATTTGGAAATAGAAAAAAAAAACTTAATTTTTGTCTTCTCACCTCCAAATTAAGTCAGATTTTTAAAAAATACCTGCATGTATTGGTATCTTCCGATTATCTTGTACTAAATGGAAATCTGCATAGATTAATTATTCTATATTCAGCTTATATAATTCCTAGGAAAAAATTTTTGGACAGAATATGAAGTTTAAGAATTTGAGATCCAACAAACTTCTTTTTAACTTACTGCTTTCCTCATAGGCACCCTCCATAATTGTTTATTTCTTGTTAATTATTCTAAATATCATTATAAGTATTGGCATTAAGTTGTAACTTTATAGGATCCCCTGTTTTCTCCCCTTCGAGGCTTTATTTTCTAGCATTTGACATTCTCAAGTCATTGCCAGTTATTTTTAGTACCTGATTAGTCTCCCTTCCTCAGGTATGTTTTCCTCAATGTAACGTATCTAGTTGGATTGAATCTACTATTTGCATCTTGTGTCCCATCCCGTCTTGCATACTGATTGTGTGGAAAAGCTCTGGAGCATTAGAGAAGCCAGTGGAATTCCCTTCCGCTCTGGCAACATTGACACCACAGAGCACAGTCCTAGGCCCCTTACCACTGTGGGGAAGCAGTTTGGAGTCAGAGAATACTTCCCCAGGGGATGAAGCATTCCCCAATAGAGATCCCTTGTGTCTACTCCTGGACTACTCCCTTCTACCATGCACAAACTGCTAGTTGGTCTAGCCACAGGTTTTTGTAGCACAGTGGTTGAGAAACTATGATAATCCAGAATTTCTGTACAGCCTTTAAACACATGAGGTAGGTCTGTATATACTAATACAGAAAGTTGTATTAGGTAAAAGGAGCAAATTACATAATAGTATTTATGGCATCATCCTAGTTAGATTTAAAGAAAAAGCTAATTTGTAAGAGCATAGTAACAGGTTTGGAAGCAGATACATGAAGGTTTTAATGGGTTACCTCTAGGAAAGGCATGGGCTTAGGTAGAGCAGAAGAGGGGCTTTCACCTTCTGTAGACTTGTGTAGCAGTTAAGTTTTAAAAATGAACATGTATTTTTTTTTTTCTTAATTACCACATAAAGATTTTTTTTTTAGGCCAGGTGCAGTGGCTCGCACCTATCATCACTGCACTTTGGCAGGCTGAGGCAGGAGGATTGGTTGAGGCCAGGAGTTTGAGATCAGCCTGAGCAACATATCAAGATCCCGTCTCCATAAAAAATAGAATTAGCTGGGTGTGGTGGCACAAGCCTGTAGATGCAGCTACTTGGGAGACTGAGGCAGGATCATCACTTGAGCGCAGGAGTTCAAGGCTGCAGTGAACCATGATTGTACCACTACACTTTAGCCTGGGCACAGAGTGAGACCCTGTCTCTTAAAAAAACAATGTTTTGGCCGGGCGCGGTGGCTCACGCCTGTATCCTAGCTCTCTGGGAGGCCGAGGCGGGCGATTGTTTGAGCTCAGGAGTTCGAAACCAGCCTGAGCAAGAGCGAGACCCCGTCTCTACTAAAATTAGAAAGAAATTAATTGGACAACTAAAAATATATAGAAAAAATTAGCCGGGCATGGTGGCACATGCCTGTAGTCCCAGCTACTCGGGAGGCTGAGGCAGGAGGATCGCTTGAGCCCAGGAGTTTGAGGTTGCTGTGAGCTAGGATGATGCCACAGCACTCTAGCCCGGGCAACACAGTGAGACTTTGTCTCAAAAAAAAAAAAAAACAACAATGTTTTTTCTTTTTTTTTTTTTTTAATGTAATATTTTAGAATTTCAAGGAAGTGCTTTAGTTACATAATCATCTGGACTGCTACCCAGTGGCAAACCTGTCAGACAACCTTAGATTCTTTACCTCTTCTCATCTGAAATGTTCTATCAATGCCTTATCTGTGAAATTTCTGAGAAGGCCCCAGAACACAGCTTCTTAAATGTTGCTTTTTGGTCTTTCTCAGAAACCAGGATAATTTATAAAATCAGTAGAAATTTATACCAGGGACCCTTTAAAAGAGTTATTTCTGGTTTCTATTTCCTCTCTTCTTTTAAGCATTGAAATCTCTTGGTTATCTACCTTCTGGAGGGAATTATACCCTGATCTGCACAGTAATGGCAATACTCCAACTCTTTGCTGGTTTGGAGTGTGTCGTCTTTTAAAAAGCTATTTCTAGCTGAGTCCTTGTATCATGCTCCCACCTGTGTACTTCAGCCACATCCTTTTAAGTACAAGCTCCAAATTTTGGAGACAGCTTGACTGGTCTTGGGGAACCAAGAACATTTGTGGTATTAACTTGGCTCAGCTATTATTGTGTTCATCGTCTGGGGGAGATAATGTCTGTCTGTTTCCTCTCATTTCCTTTCTCCTCTCTCTTCCTGTCTTTCTGTGACAGGGTCTCGCTCTGTTGTCCCAGCTAGAGTGCATTGGCATTACCATAACTCCCTGCAACCTCAAACTCCTGGGCTCAAGTGATCCTCCTACCTCAGCCTCCTGAGTAGCTAGGACTATAGGCACATGCCACTACACCTGGCTAATTTTTGAATTTTTCATAGACATGGGGTCTCACTATGTTGCTTGGGCTGGTCTTGAACCCCTAGCCTCAAGTGATCCTCCCACCCCAGCCTCCCAAAGTGCTGGGATTATAGGCATGAGCTACCACATCTAGCCTCTCCTCTCTTGTTCCATCACCCCATTTCTTTCTCTCCCCTCCCCCTTCTTTGTATATATTGCATTAGATATTATATATGTGTGTGAAGACTTTCAATCTTCATCTGTTTCATTTTCTTCTGTTTCCCCCCTGTGAATAGTAATTAAACTGGGAAGATATTGAAAAGAATTTGCTGCAAATCTGTCCAGAGTAATGGAAGTAATTTTTCTCTTCTAATCCCACTGAATTACAAAATTTACATCTATTCCTGAGACAATGCCCAGGATATGAGGAAATAATTGTAAATGGCCAAATGTTGCATAGGGACTACACTCCAGCATGGTCTATTCCTTACGTTGCCTGGTCTCCAGATGGCATGATTTTTTCCTTTTTGCCACCAGCCCATGTCAGGTTCCTGCTTCCATCCAGATCTTTACTTCTTTCTAGAATCTAACCAGATTTTATCAGCTTAATGAAGAGCTGGTTCCTTCACTGGGTTTTTTGATGATGAATATACTGTGTAATGAGAATGGCCATCCGTGAATTTCTGGAGGGCAGAGGCTATCCCTTGTTTGTTTTTATTATCCTAGCCCAGCCGTGGTGCCTAGCACAAGATGCTTAGTCAGTATTTTCAGACAAAGATAATTGGTACATCTTATTCTGAACTTTGTAGCAGACATATTGTGCAACAAACTGATCACTGTGAAAATAGAACTTTGTGATATTAATATGCCTTTCCCAAAACAAGAATCTTGCTTACACAACAGAAAAACATTGTAACAACTTATGTGATTTCTGTAAGTTCTTGAGCCTCCAGTTGGGAAATCTATGTAGTTTCTGTGATTTAAGTGGAGCATTCTATCCTTTTATTCTGGTGCTATCACATTTGTATCATAACTTTTTTTAAACAATGAACATCTGTTCTGTCATTAGATATTTTATTTGAAATATTGTCCCATATATATAAAAAAGACAATTTTTTTTTTTTGGTGTTTCTACCTGGTTAGACAATTAATTTTTTATCATAAAGGGAGTCCTTGAAAAAGTTGCACACATTCTTCTAATGTATTTCTGTATAGATAGGGAAAACTACATATATGTTTTTAAAAAATTAGTTATAAAAAAACTAAAAATGAATATAACTCCTGTGGTTTACAAGATATGGTTTAGCAATCAACTTATTAATATAATGACAAAAAAGGAATTATTGATTATAATTCTGTTATCCAAAGATACTTTTTTATGTTGGAATCCTATAAAAATAACCAAAGATGATTCTTCATTGAAATCCTAATGTCTATAAAATCAAGGAAAGTTTCAGTAATTGAGTGGCCCAAAATCCCTTTATTCATTTTCCTTTTCCTTGTTTTATTTTAGAACTGCCGTTGGATGACCAGGATTCCCTGCAGTTGATAATGTTGGAGATAAACTCTGAAACTTTCTTCAGCATTCAGTTGTTAAAAACAAATAGGATGCAAGTTCCTCAACCCCAGGTTATGAAAACAGTACTTGGAAAACTCAAAACTATCTAAATGATCGTCTTTGGTTGGGCCGTGTTCTTAGCAAGCAGAAGCCTTGGCCAGGGTCTGCTGTTGACTCTCGAGGAGCACATAGCCCACTTCCTGGGGACTAGAGGTGCCACTACTACCATGGGTAATTCCTGTATCTGCCGAGATGACAGTGGAGCAGAAGACAGTGTTGACGCCCAGCAGCAACAGGCTGAGAACAGTGCAGTACCCGCTGCTGACACGAGGAGTCAACCCCGGGACCCTGTTCGGCCACCAAGGAGGGGTCGAGGACCACATGAGCCAAGGAGAAAGAAACAAAACGTGGATGGGCTAGTGCTGGACACACTGGCAGTAATACGAACTCTTGTAGATAAGTAAGTATCTGACTCGCAGTCACCTCCAGTGTAATGGAAAGTGTTCTGCTAGGAACCATGACTTTTGGACTCCTTCAGTTCATTTAGGACATACTCACCAAGCCTTGTACTCATAGGGCAAGGGAAAATATTTTATTTCTCCTCTGATGGCAGAGTGAATTATAAGGTTTGATGTTTTTACTTGCTATCATCTACTCGTATCTGGAAATGTCTAAACATTTCTGTAGCTGAAAACGCTAATTAAAGCTACGATCTTTATTAAGGAATAGAGTAAATATGGAGTGAGTTTGTGTTGCTAGCTCCAGTAGGAAATGGTTTTGTGAAGACTCACTGTTAGTGTACTCCCATCTATTCCACTGACCAGAGGTTGAAGATAAGTTGTTTTACCAAGAACATGGCTGCATGCAACTTCCGTTGGCAATGTAAGGACAAAGGTCAAAGAGAATTTCCATCTCCCTCTTTCTTACATCTCTTATTTGGCTCTCTTTGATCCATTTGGGGAGCTTGTCAGCTTAAACTACAAGGCACAACTGTACCTGTTTTGTCTTTTCCCCTGCTTTGTCTAACTCTAAGTACTAAGCCCCAGAATGAATAACAGTGAAATTAAAGGGCATTGTTCAAGTTGAAAAAACATTTAACTTAAGAGTACATAGTTCAGTAATTAAGAGCACAAATTTTAGAACCATGATGGAGCCACATTCAAATTCTGGCCCAGCCGCTTAAATAGCTGCATGACATTGGGTAAATTAGTTTAAACCTCAGACTCCTCATCTATAAATGAGGAATATACTTTTCTTATAAGGATTAT